AGAGCATTTTTCCCGTTGTCTAAAAACAATATGAATTTGAAGTGACAGAAGGGGGCCCTTAAATATAGTCCCCGGGGAGGTGGACGTGGGTTTGGCTTTGGGGGGCAGGTCCCTCTAAAACCCCAACCCGTTTCACTGGGAGAGGTTGTCGAAGTTGATGGTCTGTACCAAAAAACCCTTTTTGTTGCAGTGTCTGACAGAATGAACATTAAAAGGGTTAAAATACCAACGGGTTTTGTTAGGTAAGACACATAGAAACCCGTTGGGTTACTTTTTTGAAACGTTTCGCCTAAAAAAGTGGGCTTTTTAAAGTCGAGTACAAAAAAAGTTGATAAAAGGGCCGAAATACTTAATCGATGTTCAGCTTACTGTGTTTTTTCGAAGCCCCAAAAACCACAGGGATCGCGGGGCCCCAAAGGTTTTTTCATATGGAGCCCTAAATATCGAAATACTCAAGGGAAAATTACTAAGTCCAGTCTTGCTGGTTCATCCTCTCCTCTCTCTTTGTAGTGCCCCCTTACGTTTTTGGGTAATGAATTTTTCCCAGTCCCCACCTCCATCATTTTAGCCCCCCCTGTATTTTGGGCCCCCCCATGGGGCCCTCCAAGTTTCCCCCATTCGATCCCCTTGGGGTTTAAGTGCCCTTTATCAGGAGTTTTTGCCCGCATGATGACTCTTCTGGCCATGCGCCATGTGTAAAACCATCGTCTATTGTTTCCGTAAATTTTTCCCTTTGGCCCCCCTGCTTTTCTGTGGTGGGTTATACATCACTGAATTAACCCTTGGCCCTCCAGATGAAGCTTTCCCCGGGCTATGCAATCACTTTCTTCTCCGCTTTTCCCCTCTTTTAAAGTCATAAAAATTTCCCATGGTGTTTGACCCAGAAAAGAAAACTCCCCCCCTTTCCCCTATTCCTTCTGTCTTTCCAGGTTTGGATTCCTTTTGGGTAAAAAGGCATTGTTTATCTTTCCCTGTAAGTTTGGGTTTTCTGTGATTGCTATGATGTTGGTGAGGGCCTTTTTGGGCCCTTTTTCGTGCCACTTCCTCCCATTTTGGTTTGTTTTTCCATCAGGTTTGTGTCCCATACCTTCATTTCCCTTTCCCAAACACTGGGGTTTTTGGGGGCCTGTGGGGGGGGGAAAACCTGTGCATACTGTGGGATTTATGGTTGGGGGTTGGGGGGAAAGCTGTGGGTATGGATTTGTATTGGGGTGTTGGGATGGTGTGATGGGTTGTTTGGGGCCGAGGGTTTGTTTTTTGTGTGTGCTTGCTTTGCTGCTCTGTTCTGCTTGCTGACCTTGGCTGTTCCCCTCCTTTGTCTCCTTTTCCCCCAGCTCCTTTTCCCTTTTTTTCCCTCCCTCAGCTGGGTGTCCCCTTTTTTTTGTTTTTTTTTCTGTCCCCAGGAACACCCTTGTTTTCTCTTCCGACTTCTCAACCCGGGGTTTTTTTTGAATTTTCCCGTTTCCGGGCCCCTGTTTCTCCCTTTTCCTGAGATTTCCCCAAACTCCTTTTTTTTTCTCCCCTTCAAGGGGGACCCACCCTAACCCTGGAAAAATTTTTTCCCTTTTTCCTCCATTTCTTTTCCCCCCTTATTTTCCGTTTTATATTTTTCAATTTTCCCTTTTTTTTCCCTGGCCTCTTTCCCGGTTTTGTGTTCCCCTTTTTCCCCCTCCTCTCCCCTCCCCCCCCAAAAAACACGGTTTTTGGGGGCCCCTTTCCCCCCTTCCTACATTCCTTCCCTTTTGTTCGGTTCCTTCTATGGTTTTGGGCATTTTTCTTCTTCCAAGTTTTTCCATTCTTGGACCCTTGTCCTCGCATTCCCCCATTTTCTCCTTTTCAACCCCTTCCCAAACCCCTCCCCCTTTTACTTTTCCCCCCCCAAAATTTCCCTAAACTCCCTTTCCTTTCCCTTTTTTGGGCCCTCAATTTTTTTTTTCACTTGGGCCTTTATTTTCCCAAAATTTTCCTTTAAAACCCTATTCCCATTTGGTAATTTTTTATAATTTTCCCTTTGGGGTTTTCCTTTTTAGAAAATCCCAACCCCCCCTTTTTTTTTTTCCCCCTTCCCTTTATTTTTTGGACAAAGATTTGGGAAAAGTAAAAAGAAATAAAAAAAAAGGGGGGAGGGGGAGGAGGGGAAGGGAAAAAAAGGGAAAGAGAGGGGGGGGGTGAAAAAGGGAAGAGAAAGGGGGAGAGAGGAATTTGGAAAAGGGGAGGGGGGAGAGAGAGGGGGAAGGAAAAGGGGGGGGGGAGGGGGGGAGGGGGAGGAGGAAAAGAGGAAGAAGAGAAAGGGAAAAAAGGGGGAGGAAGAGGGGGAGGAAGAGAGGATGAGAGGGAAAAGGGGAGGGAAAGGGGAGGGAGAGAGAGGGAGGAGAGGAGAGGAGAGGGAGGGGGGGGGGGGTAAGGAAAAGGGGTTTGAGGATCACTTTTACAGGAAGGGGTTTTAAAAACCTGTTATGGGGGTGTGTGTGTGGGGTGTGTGGGTGTTTTGTGTTTTTTGTGAAAAAATTTTGTGTGTGTGTGTGTGTGTGTTGTGTGTTTGGGTGTGTGTGTGGGTGTGTGGGGTGTGGGGTGTGTGTGTATGTGTGTGTTTTGTGTGGGGGGAGTGTGTGTGTTGTGTGTTGTGTTGTGGGGGTTGGTTTTGTGTGTGTATGTGTGTTTTGTGTATGTGTGGGGGTGTGTGTATGGGGGTTGGGGATGTGTGTGTTTTAAAAAATTTTGTTTTTTGTGTGTGTGTGTGTTTTGTGTGTTTGTGTGTGCAAAGTGTGTGTGTGTGTGTGGTGTGTGTGTGTGGTGTGTGGGTGGTGTGTTTGTGTGTGTGTGGTATGTGGTGTTGTGTGTGTTGTGGGTTGGGGGTGTGGAGTGTGTGGGGGTGTATGTGTGTGGTGTTTTGTGTGGTGTGTGTTTTGTTGTGGGGTTGTGGTGTGTGTGTGTGTTATGTGTGTGTGTTTTGTTTTGAGTGTTGTGTGTGTTGTGTGTGTGTGTGTGTGTGTGTGTGTGTTGTGTGTTTTGTGTGTGTGTGTGTGGTGGTGTGTGTGTGAGTGTGTGTGTGTGTGTTGTGTGTGTGGTGGTGTGAGTGTGTGTGTGTGTGTGGTGTGTGTGTGGTGTGTGTGTGGTTGTGTGTGTGTGTGTTGTTGTGTGTGTGTGTGTGTGTGTTTTGGGTGTGTGGTTTTGTGTGTGTTGTGTGGGTGTGTGTGTGGGGTTGTGTGTGGTGTGTGGTGGTGTGTGTGTGTGTGTGTGTGTGTGTGTGTTGTGTGTGTGTGTTGTGTGTGTGGTGTGTGTGTGTGGTGTGTTGTGTGTGTGGGGTGTTTTGTGGGGTGTGAGTGTGTGTGTGTTGTGTTTTTGTTTTGTGTGTGTGTGTGTGTGTGTGTGTGTTGTGTGTGTGTGTTGTTGTGTGGTGTGTGTGGTGGGGTTTTGTGTGTGTGTGTGTGTGTGTAGTGTGTTGTGTGTGTGTTGTGTGTTGTGGTGTGTGTGTGGTGTGTGTGTGTGTGTGTGTGTTTTTTGGGTTGTGTGTGTGTGTGTGTGTGTGTGTGTGTGTGTTGTGTGTGTAGTGTGGGGTGTGTGTGTGTGTGTGTGGTTTTTGGGGGTGTGGGGGTGTGTGTTGTGTGTGTGGTGTGTGTTTGTGTGTGTGTTGTGTTTTGTGTGTGTGTGTGTGTGTTGTGGTTTTGTGTGTGTGTGTGTGTTTGGGGTTGTTTTTGTGTGTGTGTGTTGTGTGTGTGTGTGTTTGTGTGGGGTTTGTTGTGTTGTGTATGTTGTGTGTGTTTGTTGTGTGTGTGTGTGTGTGGGGTTTTGTGTTTGTGTGTGTGTTTTGTGTGGGGGTGTGTGTGTGTGGTGTGTGTGTTTTGGGTGTGTGTGTGTTGTGGTGTGTGTGTGTGGGTGTGTGTTGTGTTTTGTTTGTGTGTTTGTGTTTGTCTGTCCTTAATTTGTCAATAGCTTGTAAATAGTTAGCGATCCTTAACTTAACCTTGACAAACCCTGTGTAAAAAACAGAGACAGAGATATATAGAGAAAAATAGAGATAAAAAATAGTTATATAGAGAGAAGAAGAGAGAGAGAGAAAAAATAAGTTGAGGGAAGGAGAGGAGGTGGAGAGGGGACAGAGAGGTAAGGATGGGGAGAGGGAAAGACAGAGAGAGGGAAGGAGAGGAGGTGGAGAGAGAGCACTTTAAGTGCTCCTCACTTTTATGCTTCAAAATAAACATTTCGTCTACACATCCTAAATCCATCATACCATGAAATCCTACTTTCTGTCTTACTCCTAACCTTTTCAATAATAATTCTGCTGTAAACTTTATCTAGTATACTCAACAGGCTTATCTCCCTATAATTCTTCCATTCTCTCTTTCCCCCTTTATTTTATACAAGCGAATGAGCAAATAAATAAAAATAGGTAGCAGAGTAAACAAATAAAAAATCAAAGGCTGAAAAAGACAAAAAGTGTTTCCCAGCAAACCTTGTAATCAGATGATGAATAAACAAGGTAATACCAGTTTTGTACAATGAAATGAATGAACATCATCTCTAATCCAAATATCAAATAAGGACATACAGAACCAACAAGCAGAAGACAAAAACAGATTCTTTCCTTATCTACCAATACAATACAGTAGCTTGGATGTCATGTTCACTCCAGATAATTTACTTTTCAACTCTACTGATGCATCCTCAAGTAGAAGCCTCCTCACAGGTCTTAACAACATAAAAGTGTTTATAAAACATGTAATGAAGCCCCTAACATATTAGCATTTTCCCTATGCTAGTTAGCAATCATATAACTGAAGCACCTGCACACATTTGCTCCAAGATACATGCGTGTAGAAAGTACCTTTAACAAAACTACAGCCAATAAGCAATAACAGAAAGCATTTCACCTAAAAATTTATTTTAATACAATAGAGTAAGCAAATTTAAGGTAAGTTTTTATCATATCTAGTGTATAAGAATCTCATACAAGTTGCAACATGTAAAAGAAACAAAGCCAAGTAGGCTACAGTACATACGCCTCCAGCTCCTGTTTCATCTTGCTGAATTCTTCTTTTGTCATGCTGCCTTCACCCTCACCCAATTTTTGGAGTTTCTCACGTGATGCATCAAAATCAGGACGAGGTGGTGGTGGAGGGATCTGTTAGGATGCAAAGGAGCCCCAGCTTTATCTATTTGCCACTTATAAAATGCAATGCATTTTTTGTACCATTATAAGACATACCACTCTTGCATCCTAAGTTAGTTGGTGGTTCAACAACTTTCTTGAAACATTATGAATCTTAACCATGAAAATCTTGTCAGTGAAATATTTAAAAATTATTACAAAATAAAAAATGAATCATTCACATATCACACCATTTATTGTATGGTTCATATGCTAATTATTTAATTTATTATAATTACGTTATCAAGTTACACAAAATGACTTACAATGTAACCTGCATAGTCCTCATTTTCATCAAAACGGTCATGAAGCCAAATGAACTCCTCATGTTGCCTCACTACCGAGAACTCTGGCTTGCTGTACTCTGGAAGGCTTGTCTGAAGGTACGCAAAAATTAAGTTTTTTAACCCTTAAGGAGGCAATGAACCCTTTTTTTAGTGATAAAAAAATTGGAATTGAAAAATTATGGAAAACAATGTTTTATCAAAAAATAGTACATAATTATGGCAAAATGTTGATAGAATCAGCTTGTTGGCAATTAGTGTTTTGTTTTTTATTCCAAAAATTATGATTTTTATCATTGTTTCATTCTAAATACTCTACATGGCAACTTCTGTGAGGACTAAAGTGAAGAGAGCAGTGATATTGTCCCTCAGTAGCCTGCAGGCTGTCAACAAGGACAGAGGAGTGCAACACATTCAGATTTGGCAGGCCATAACCATAGAGTTTTACATAAAACATAATTAGGAATAACTCAGGAATAAGTTACTGGCATTGTTTTCCTTCTCATTCGAACAGTATTTATAGGAGCATCAGGGTTTTTTCACACGTTATTGGGGAATGATGGTTCTATTGAATTATGTAGGTTTGCGATATGTTTTACCATTTTTTTATTGCAATTTTTTCTCCTAAAAAGGTTCTTAAAGAAAAAAAAAATTTCAACATTTTGCATAATGCAATCTACAGATACTTTGCTCAAACGTCCGTGTAATTAGAATACCTAACTCGTTATCTTTCATCTGATCTCGACTAGAACATTGTAAGTCTTACCAATTTTGTAGTAGAAGGATAGATTTAAAACCTATAGAATAGGGCACTATTTATTTTTTTCTAACTGTAAGGAAAAAAGTCACTAAAAATAGTCTCTAGGTTCCAAATGCTGCTTAATTCATAGTAAAAATTCCATTGAAATTGGACAGAAAAAAAAAAGACGTTTTGCTCGTCGCTCCCTTAAACTGTCTAAACATAGATCTACATTTGTACCTCTAGCACTCCAAACATAGATCTATGTTTCATTTTTCCTACCTCCAAATTTGGCATGATTGGCCTGAGATGCCTGGTCAGTAGAGAATGGGTCTTAACACTTGATGTGTGCAGTATTAAAAAAAATCTGGGACCACTTAGTACCTTGTGGAAGCACCAGTTCAACTGAGTGCCAGCTAGAACAAACAGCATAGCAAACACCAGGGATTCACTGATGTCATGTTGTATTAACACTCCCCTTTTAAGGGGAAAGCGATGTTGAACCAGAGTTTAGTGGCTTTGAGATGGATGTGGCCACAAGTAGTTGAGGAACTATCAAAAACCTCAATAATACCTAATGTGCGACATCCTTTCATTTCTGATACCACTGGTAGTGTCATTCTGCCAGAATGCCCTAAGAAAAGAGAAACGATTCTGGAACATGTGTAATATATATTTGGCAGGCTGGGTGGCCGGCAGGGTGGCTGGCTAACTGGCTGACTGACTGACTTTGGCTGTCTCTCTGTCTGTATCTGTCTCTATCTGTCTATATCTCTGTCTCTGCATCTCACAGGTACACATTAGTACAATTACACATACTAGTCTCGCTCCACATTTGCAAAGGTTAGGGGATCAAGAACCTCACGAACATTGAAACGTCGTGAATGTTTGGTGCCCAAATATATTGTAGGGAAATATAATAATAGCATTTACTTAGACTAACAATACTGCTTCCTTAACTTATTGAACCATGAGCAATCATAAAACACATGAAAACATCATAAAATATTGTACAAGTGCCAGTCCTTTGGTAAAGAAGGTGATAAAGACCATAGAATTTAAGAAAGAACTTGTAGCAGAGTACCAAAGTGGAGGAGGAAGAGAGAGGGGAGAATGTGCCTTCATCACTGATTCAGTGATTCTACAATATGTATGATACTAAAGCAGTAGGAGTCGATAAAGGCTATAGCACCAGCGAGCAATAAAGTGTAGCATTAACAGTGTAGAAAGTAAGTTAAGTGATTAATCGATAGAAAAAGGACAGCACGAACCTAACTCCTCCAATGTTGTTGGAGTTATAAAGGGTGACTGACAACATCGCCGTCTCTAATCTCTACCGCCTTCACCACCATTATGTACGGGTTATGTCTCAGTGGCCCTTATACACCCAAGAACACCAACACAACACTCATGACATACTTAACCCTTAAACTGTCCAAACGTAGATCTACGTTCACCTCCGTGGCACTCTGAATATTTTGAAAAATAAAAAAATAGTTTTTTATTTTTAAATTAAAGAGGGCAATTTTCTGTGTGGTATAAAACCAAAAAAAAAAAAAATTTTTGGGGACCAGTACTTACCATGAAGATGTCTCTGGATGCTCAACTGATGGCAACATCCAGTCCTGATGCTTGCAGAAGTGTTTCCAATTTACCTTTTTTCTTTGTTTTTATTTTAATTTATATAATTTTTATGTTTTTATAATTGCAATTTATAATAGTTCTTGCGATTTCATAGCCAATCTTTGTTCTGACACCAATATTATGTACTGAAATAGTACTCAAATTGTAACAATCACACTGACAGGTGAACATTTTCACCTGCCCTCATCATTTACTATTGTCTAGAAATATGTATATACAAAGTATTTATAAGCCTTGGCAATGTTTTAGACATGCTGGAGTATGAACCTCCTTGAAGAATGGTGTTATGACAAGGGTCAGATAAGTGACATTTGATGAATGTGCCCTGCTGGAGGGAACCTTGCCTTTATAGGTTTTTACTCTTGCACACAAACATGTCTTGGTATGTCTGTCTGTCAGTCTGTCTGCCTGACTGCCTGTCTGTCTATCTGTACATCTATCTGTCTGCCTAGTTCTGCTTATATGTCTAGTTCTGCTTATCTTTCTGTCTGCCTGTGTGTGTCTGTCTTTCCATCTGCTTGTCTCTGTCTCAGGGAGCAGCTAGTAAACCTGATTGCTGAGCAAGTGACACTGCTATTATTTATGCCATGTTTATTTGTCTTACATCTACAAACACTGTATAGCACTTGGCCTGGAATTTTTGGGTTATCCTAAGTAATTTACATTATGTATAATAACTGTATTTGAGTACATGTGAGAGACAGAGATACAAATAGACAGTGATATAGACAGATACAGATAGAGAAGAGATATAGACAGACATCAGATATAGACAGATATACAGATAGAGATACAGGCAGATACAGGCAGACAGCCAAAGCCAGCCAGCCAAATACATATGAACATAAGAAAGAAGGAACACTGCAGCAGGCCTACTGACCCATGCAAGGCAGGTCCATGTCATCCCCCCCCATCAGCTTAGACCAATGACCCACCTAGTCAGGTCATATCCACTGAAAGAAGGAGCACGACATCTGACCCAGTAGCACAAGCTAGTCAGATCCAACTCACACCCACCCACACCCACTCATGCATTTATCTAACCTATTTTTACTTTCCTCTTGGTATAAACCTTGGTAATAAATACCGACAAGTTGGTTTAGAAAGACACGTAAGCAAACACTATGACATATTTATTAGAAAACGTTTCGGACCGAAATGTTTTCTAATAAATATGTCATAGTGTTTGCTTACGTGTCTTTCTAAACCAACTTTCCTCTTAAAATGTGAGCGTTAATATGACATGACATCAGTAAATCACTGGTGTTTGCCATGCTATATTCTCTAGCTGGTGCTCAGTTGAACTGGTGCTCTCACAAGGTACTAAGTGGTCCCCAGTTTTTTTCATAGTGCGCACACTTACTGCATAGACCCATTCTTTCATATCTAGGTGACTCAGGCCTATGCACCAAATTTGAAGGAATGAAAAATAAAACGATCTACATTTGGAGCCCACCACACGTGAACGTATATCTACATGTGGATTGTTTCGGTCATATATATACGTCTTATGTGCCACTGTTTCGAACGTATTTATACGTGTAAATTCTAATGGCTTCAAATCAAGCAGGAGAAAGCTGGTAGGCCTACATGTGAGAGAATGGGTCTGTATGGTCAGTGTGCACCACATAAAAAAAATCCTGCAGCACACAGTGCATAATGAGAAAAAAAAAAAGAACGTTTTTTGGATTAAAACGCCAACTTTGAGGTGTATTTTCGTATAGTATTTATCGTTGTATTCTCGTTTTCATGGTCTCACGTGATAAAATGGAAAACATATTACAGAAATAGAGATGATTTTGATTAGTTTCACGATGAAAATGACTTTGAAATTGAGCCTAAAGTAGCAGAAATGTTCGATTTTTACAAATGTTCAGGAGTAAGCAAATCACACCACACGTTCAATACACATCAACTGGGGAGTCTAATATTCTTTCACTACTACGTACACTGATATTATTTATACCATTTTTACAATAATGCAGTAGTCTGCATAACAGTAAACTTTGTATTTTTTGTATGAATAAAAAATCAAAATAGAAAGCAATAGTAATATAAGAGGGGCCTAGAGATGTGACTAATTACAATTAGGTCACACTACACATACATGTACAAGCATATATATACACCCCCCTTTGGGTTTTCTTCTATTTTCTTTCTAGTTCTTGTTCTTGTTTATTTGCTCTTACCTCAAGGAGGCCTGGTCACAGACCGGGCCGCGGGGGCGTTGACCCCCGGAACTCTCTCCAGGTAAACTCCAGGTAATGAACAGAGGATATGTTATTTTAGTGCCAAGAATGTCTACATTGTTTATTCTGGACCCTATTTTGAAATTGGCATCTTTTTTTAATTTGCGCGAAATTGGCCAAATTGCCAATTTCTGACCACTTCATTGGGTAGTTCAAATCAATAAATGGGCAGTTTCTTGTACTCAACTGACAGAAAAAATGGAGTTCTAAAGAAATAGCTATGAGTTTGGTCAACTGGAACAACGGAATTGGCCAAAAACAGGGCTCAAAGTCGGCGAAATCGCTGATGCGTATATGTCGCCGAGACTGCTAACTTCGCGGGAGCGTAACTCCGTGAGTTTTTGACCACATTTCGTACTTTTGATGTCATTATCATCGAGAAAAGATTCTCTATCATTTCATAAGAAAAACTAATTTTTTTTCTTGCAAAAATTTTGCGACATAGAATGACAGTTTCAGAA